CTGCCCCGGTTTTCTGGTACGGCCGGGGCTTTGGGGGAACGGCTCGGCCCCGGGGCCTGTCGTGTAGGTTCCCGGGGCTGGGGAGGGGCTGACTTGGGGGGGCCTTGGCCCCGTTAGACCCCGTGGGGGTTTTTATCCTCCTCTAGGCGGGGCTTGTGGTTACGCGGAGTGGGGTCTTTCCTCCCCACTCGCCGTACGTGCTGTTGGACGTCGGCCCCTCCCCGGGCTCGGTTCCTTGGCCTTTGAGTCGGTTGGTTCCGTCCTGTGGGTGGATGTTTCCTCCCCCCCTTTTTGGGACGGTGTTTTTGTCATGTTTCCCCGTTCGATGGGGTTCTGCGTGACTTCTGATCTCGGGTACGCCTGCGCCTTCGTGTGCCTTCGGGACTAGTGTTGGCTTCTGTGTTCTCGAGGGTATGGGAAGGTTTTTCGCTACTTCCCGCATTATTGGAACGTCTGTCGGCTCCTCGTACTTGTCGCCCTGTTGGGCTACTTGTCGCCCTGTTGGGCTACTTGTCGCCCTGTTGGGCTACTTGTCGCCCTGTTGGGCTACTTGTCGCCCTGTTGGGCTGCTTGTCGCCCTGTTGGGCTGCTTGTCGCCCGGTTGGGCTGCTTGTCGCCCGGTTGGGCTGCTTGTCGCCCGGTTGGGCTGCTTGTCGCCCGGTTGGGCTGCTTGTCGCCCGGTTGGGCTGCTTGTCGCCCGGTTGGGCTGCTTGTCGCCCGGTTGGGCTGCTTGTCGCCCGGTTGGGCTGCTTGTCGCCCGGTTGGGCTGCTTGTCGCCCGGTTGGGCTGCTTGTCGCCCGGTTGGGCTGCTTGTCGCCCGGTTGGGCTGCTTGTCGCCCGGTTGGGCTGCTTGTCGCCCGGTTGGGCTGCTTGTCGCCCGGTTGGGCTGCTTGTCGCCCGGTTGGGCTGCTTGTCGCCCGGTTGGGCTGCTTGTCGCCCGGTTGGGCTGCTTGTCGCCCGGTTGGGCTGCTTGTCGCCCGGTTGGGCTGCTTGTCGCCCGGTTGGGCTGCTTGTCGCCCGGTTGGGCTGCTTGTCGCCCGGTTGGGCTGCTTGTCGCCCGGTTGGGCTGCTTGTCGCCCGGTTGGGCTGCTTGTCGCCCGGTTGGGCTGCTTGTCGCCCGGTTGGGCTGCTTGTCGCCCGGTTGGGTTCTTTGCTTCTTTGGCCGGTTTTATTGTTCCTGCTTCCTCTTTTGGCTCCTTTTCTCATGCAGTAGTCCTGGCTGGCGCCTTCCCGCAGGGAGGGTGTGCGGTTCGGCCAGCGTGTTATGCGCATGTGCCGTGGAGTTTGTTTTGGTCTGGGCGGTGTTTCAGTGCTGGGGTTTTGCGCCCTTTTTTGCTACAGTGCTTCACCTCTCGTTCGTCTCCCTGGCTGCGGTATGTGCCCCTTCGCGCCGGGGGTGTCCTGGTTCCCAGTTGTGGGGAGGACACCGCGGTTTTCCCTGTGTCATGGGTGTGGACCACCTCCTTCGCCTCTCCCTGTTCTCCTGCGGGTCCGGCAGGGTCCGGCTCTGGCGTCTTCACCTGGCGGTGCTCCCAAGTTCTTCTGGGCACGGTTGAGTCGTGTCAAGTTCGTGCCACCATTCGCCAGGTGAGTTTCTGCTGTCTGGCGTCTTTTGGCCGGGCGCTGGATGCGGCGGTGTTTATATACCTGTCTTTATTTAGGTATATTTTTGTACGACTGAGACCGTTCGCACACCAGTGACTGTCCCTATATCACCCCTTCCTGTCCCCCTCATGTGCATGTCCAACCCATGCTGGAGTCATTCAGGGGACCCTCCTTTTTAATGTTGTGAGGTGTGGGGGGTTGTAGGGTTGGTTCTGTACTCACCTGGTGAGGCTCCTGGCTGTGCTTGCAGGATTTGAGCTCTGGCTCTTGGGTCCCGCCTATCTGGTAGAACTTGCGGGATAGTACCAGTGGAGTGCAGTGGTGCTATTGGCACTTTTGGGGAACACTGTATTACCATCAGTGGTCTGTGCTTGTTACACGACCTACTTGCGAGCATAAGCCTTCTTACTGGTTCGTCCGTGGACTTCCAGGGCGCACTGGCCTGTTTTCGTATGGCAGTTCCGGCCCGTCCTGGTTGTGGGGGTATGTGGGCCGGTGGACTGCTCCTAGCAGCTACCTGGTGGGCCATCCTCTGGCCGGTCTGGCCTGACCTTGGGCCGGGCTTCAGGTGTAAAAGAGCTCCCAGTACCTCATCCAGCAGGTATCGAGCGGGGTTTCTCCGCCGTTGGTCGCCTGGTGCAGGTTTCTGGGCCTGCAAGGTTTTTGTCGTGTCTCCGTTGGCCTTGTCTGGGGTCTGCCTGCTCCGTTCTCTGCCTTTGCAGAGGGGAGTTGCTATTTACATGTTGCATGTTGCAGTGGTGCCTGTTGCTGCTGCTGCTGCACGTGTGCATTGGTACTGTGTTTCACGGTGGCGTGTCCTTGTTCCTGTGTCTGGTTGTGGAGTGGCACTTTGCTGCCGTTTTGTGCCTGGGGATTGCGTGCGGTTTTTGTCCTTGCCTGTTTGTCCACCCCTGGTTGTTCTCCTGGGGTTTTTTGTGCTTCTGCTCTTTCTTCCTGCCTCCTCTGCAGCAGGGATGTTCTGCGTGTGTTCTTAGGCGTTGGTCAGCCTGTGTCCTGTGATGTGCTTCTTTGTCTCGGTCTATTGCAGTTGTTCATGCCCCTTGGTTCGGGTCCTGTTCTGGCGGCGACCCTTCCGCCTTTTTTGGTTTTCCTAGCTTGCCCTGCCGGTTGTTGTTTTTTTTTTTTTGGGGGGGGGTTCTTGCGATGTCTCGCGTCGGACCCGTCGTTTCTGAACTCCTGGCGGGCTTGCATGCTTTGGGGAGTTTTTCTGTTCGGCAGACGTTCCATCTCCTTGTGCCGCCTGGGTTTCGGTGGTCGCGCCCGAGATCTTCTCGCGGCTCTGCCTTTTTCCTGGGCTCGGGGAGGGCCTTGTCGGGGCTGCTTATGTTCTGCCTTGTGGTCGCGCCTCCGGTTGGTGGTCGGGTGGCTTCGTGGTAGGTGTCCCACCTGCGTGCTTCTCTTGGCGGCAGTATGGGTATTTTGGCGGTCCTTCCTTTTCCTGTCCCTTCTTAGGTGGTTACTCTTGTTGGCTTGGTTTACTCTCGGCTTGGTTTTCTAGTGGGGGTTGGGGGCCGTCGTCTTGCCACATACTGTCGCCTCTTTTCGTGCGGCGCAGGCGGAGCCGCTTCAGCTTGCTTTCGGTCTTGGTGTTGCTTCTGCACCGTTAGTCAGCTGTCTTGTGCGTCGTTTCACCTCCGGCCTGTCCGTGCGCCGCTTGCACCATCCTGCTCTCTGGTCAGCGTGCTCTGTCTTCTCCTCGGTTGGTAGTGCCCCTTCGGTTCTGGTGTGTTTTTTCGTCGGCTCTTTCCTTTGGGCCTTTGCCTCTGGGGGTCGGTTCGCTGAGTTTTCTTGCTCCTTCGGTTTTAGCATTTTGGTTGTTTGATGGCAGGAGTCTCCATCTTTTCTGGCGCGGGGTGGGGCTGCTGCATTCTGGAGGGGTCCAGGGTTTGTTGGTGCTTCGTTGGTCGGGCCGGGGGTGTGTCGTTTTTGTGTTCAGTGGCGGCCCTCCGCTGTTGTTTGCGTGCCACGGCGTTTGAGTCCGGAGCGCGTTTTGCGTTGATCCGGTTCTGTTCTTCCCGGTTCGCGGGTGATGGTGTCCCGGGTGGTCAGCCGTGTTCTTGCGGCTAAGCTGCCTGTGTTCTTCCCTCATGCCTGTGGCGTTCGTGGCTTCGCTGCTCTCGCTGCCGTCTGGGCGACGTGGCCTTGCAGTCTTTCGGGCATGGATTTTTGGTGTTCGTGCAGTGGTCTTGCTGCTCGTGGTTCTCGTGTTGTTCCCGGGATTTTCGGGGCTGTGGCGCCTTGGGTTGGCGTTTGCTGCCGGTTGTCTCGCCTCCTTGGGGGGTGCGTGGTGTCCGCCTCCCGGTTTTGTCCCTTTGACCTTCCTCTGTGGGTAGTTAGCTCCGGGGAGCCGACGGGGCTCCCCCCAGAAAACCAGCGTTGAATGTAATGAAACGCCATTTTCTGGGTGAGACCCGGAGGCTCCCCGGCAACCCTCCCTCCCTCCGGTCGGCGTTTTTCGCGTGTTTTGACATCCAGCCTCAGAACTGATGGGTGGATAGCCGGCGTGGGAGGTCTGGGGCTCCCCCTTCCCCCTCCCGGGGAGGGGGGAGCTGCGCAGACAGCGGCGCGGTGACGTATGACGTCATACTAGTTTCCTTGTTTTCTGTTGAAGAGTTCTAGCCACTAGTTCGGCTTAGGTAGCAATTTTCACCAGAATAGGGGTTTGTTTTGGAATGCTTACCTTTCTGGATGCTTGACCCGGTCGATGGCAGACATAGAATGCTTCCAACCACACGGGGGTTTCTATAGGCCATTGCTCCCCTTGCCTCTCTGAGGGGGCCAGGTTCTGGCTCGTGGTCCCCGGTAGGCCCTAGAACTCCATACACATGACTGATGCCAAAGTCTGACATTAGCATATCAGCCGGTAAAGCTCCGGGGAGCCTCCGGGTCTCACCCAGAAAATGGCGTTTCATTACATTCAACGCTGGTTTTTTGACATAATGTATGTGTGAAGTCTTCCATGTTTTATTATATATTTAGTCTTGCATCATGGGACCTTTCAAAGGTGCTGCAAATTAACTTATACTGTAGATTGATAGGTAAACTGTGACTTTCAGTGGTCTTTAGAACATTCTCCTGTTTTCAAAATACCCATAAATACAGTACTCTATTCCTCATAGATTTGTTAAAGTTATTTTTTTTACTTTTTTTGGTCTTATTTTGTGCCCGAATGTAAAGTGCACAAATTGAGGGATGCCTGTAATGTGATTTACATCTTATTGGTGAAGCTAACAGATGTAGGCAATTTTTTAATATTTTTACTGTACTGTACAGTATAAGCAAAACATTTTGTAAATAATGATTGGGTGCTTTGATTTGTAATTATTATTAAAATGTTGTAAAAAGGTCACTTTTTAATGTTAAATTTTGTATAGTCCCCAGAGGAGCTAGAGCAGTCACCCCAAGGCTCGGAGGCAGAGACCGTAGGCCTACAGCCACATACCAACACTGCGATGATAGTGACATCAGTGCCTGTACCAATGGCAAACCTCCAAACCACTCATAATTTACCAGAGGTAAGTTGCTTTAACCCGTTCATACACAATACTGTATTGCCAATTCTTGAGATTGCTGGTTTCATATACTGTACCGTACTGTAATTCCCATAGTTGGGTATAGTTGGTCTGTACAGTACTTAAAATTACGGGATCCAGTAAGTTCAGTAGAACTTTGGTTTCAACCCTTTTTACCCTGTCGTAGCTCAGTCGATTAAGGCAGTGTATGGGATGCTCCTGGACGCTTGTTCGAATCCTCGTCACGGCCCTTGTGGATTTGTTCAGTACTTAAGCTTATCTAGGTCCCCATAAGTTTCCAATTACTGACCTACACGATGTAACCCACAGCAGTTGCCTAACCCCTAGGAATCTATTGCTAGGTGAATAGATGCATGAGGTAAAGGGAAATGTGTCCAGACATATTATGTTATGAGATTGAACAGGAGCTCATAATTAGTGAGTATCTTACCAAGGTTCAGGGGGTCTTTCACCCACAGGGATGCTTGCAGGGTGTTCTGCTGAATGTTTAGGCCCTGATGGTCACCCTTATTGTCTCTGGCACTCATCTTGCTGGGTTCAGGGGGTCTTTCACCCACAGAGGGTGTAATGTGTGTGCAAGTGCTAGTCCTGTGTGTTGATTGTGTTGGCAGAGGTTATCTGGTATATGGTTGTGCTGGTAGATTTGGAACCAATTCATTTGGCTTCCTCGCTGACCTTGTTGTCAGCCACAGTGTCCATCACAACCTGTTCTCTTGCCTGATATGTTGTGTTTTTAATAGAATTGACCAGTTTGTTAAAATTTTGACATTGTTAAAAATTAAAACTGCAAAATTTACGTTTTCTGGTGGGAGCCCCTTCAGCTCCCTGGAGCTATCCAGGCTGATATGGATATATTAGACTTTCACATCAGTCAGTGTGAATGGAGTTCATATGCCTACCGGGGACCATGACCATGAGCCAGAACTTGGCGCCCCCCTCCCCCTCAGAGAGGCACGAGGAGCAATGGCTTATAGAATTGCACCTGTGATTTGGAGCATTCTCTGGCTGCCATTGACTGGGTCAGGCACCTAGAAAGGTAAGCGTCCCAAAACAAACCCCTATTCTGGCTAAAATTATTACTGAAAACTAAGCGAGTGGACAGAACTCTCCAGATGAAAACGAGCATGACGTCACATGTGCTGTGCTGCTTGTCTGCGCAGCTCCTACCGCCCCGGGAGGGAGAAGGGGGAGCCCCAGACCCCTTGTGCCGGCTATCCCCACCTCAGTTCTCGGCTGATGCGTCTAGGCGTTGGTCGAGTGACTCCAGCTTCTGATTCCTGTGTTCAGTGCTGTGACTTGTGTCCAGTGCTGTTTTACGGGTGGTGCGTGAGCTGGGAGTAATCTTCACAGGTACTCGGGCTGCATGCGCTTAAGGTTGCCTTCTCTAAGTGCCCTGTAAGTACCGCTGTTGGGGCCATCTTCCACAAGTCACCTTGGGGTCTACTTCTGCTTGGTCATTTGCTGCTCGGTGATTGACCACTCGTGAGTGTGCTGGGGGGTTTCCTCCTTCCTTGATTACTTTGAGGTAAGGGGTAATTTGCACTGGTAGGGGCACGGGGTACTGCACAGCTATTTATCACCTCTTATAGTAGCCGGCTCTGTTCCACCTGAGTAAGTTGTCCTCTTGCAGGGTTTTCTTTTATTTTTGTTTTCTGCTTAGTGGGGGGGGGGGGTCTGCCTTCAGTTGGTTGCCCTCAGTATCTCCTTACATATATATCTTTGGGGTCTTGTTGGTATCCCCTACTAGGCCCCCCATGAGTGGACACATCCCAGGGGTGTAGCTTTTTTAGCAGTTTGATTGGTAATTTTGGGCACCGGTTTGCAGTACCCTGTCTGCAAGGGGTCCGATGGATGCGACCCCTGGGCGAATTGCCTGTCTTGGTTCATTCCCGTTCACGGAATGGACGGTCTACGCTGACTCATTCAGTTGGCTCTGCCGGACGTACAGGCTCTAGGACATGGACCTCTTTGCTTCGGTGTAGTCGAGGCATCTCCGGTATATGTGGTGCTCTTCCCTGACAGCAGGGCCTTTGAGGTCAATGCCTTCAGGCAGGACTGGTTGAGTGGGGGTTACCTGTACCTCTACCACATGGTTCAGGTGTTGCTCCAGGTCCTGGCTTGATTGGAGACTTACCAGGAGAGATGTGTCCTCTTGGCCCCTTGGTGGGCCGGTCCAGCCTTGGTTTCAGACGCTGCTGGCTCGGTGTTCGAACCCAGGGGTTTTCCTGCAGCTACTCCTCTTTCAGCAGATCGGTCCGGTCCGTTACATGGCTGGTTCGATCTTCTCGTCGAGTCTTCGCGTCTGGTCTTTTTGACTTAAGTCTATTGCAATCTGTATGGTGATCAGGTGGCTTCTTTGATGGTGTCCCACCTGTGTACTTCGTCTTGGCGGCAGTATGAAGTGTCCTGGTGGTCCTTCCATTTCTTTTTGTCTCTTTGTAGGGGTATTTTGCCTTCTGTTAAGGTTGTCTTGTCCTTACTCTCATAGTTGTTTCAGGACCATCATCTTATGGGTAATACTGTCGCCTCATATCGTGCGGCACTGGCGGAGCTGCTGCAGCTTGCTTTCGGTATTGATATTTTGCACCATTTCGCAAGCTGTTTCGGGCGTTGTTTCACCTCCGGCCTGCTCATGCGCCATCTGAGCCGTCTTGGTCATTGGACAGTGTGCTCTCTTATCTCTCTTCCCCTTGTTTTGTAGTGGACCTTTTTTTTTGGGTCAGGATTGTTTCTCGAAGGCTCTTTTCCTGTTGGCTTTGGCCTCTGGGGGTCAGGTCAGGGAGCTTCATGCTCTCCTCCAGCTCAGGGGTCTCTGTTCTTTTTGTTCTGGTGATAGGTTTGTTCGTTTGCGGCCGTCTCCTTTTTTTCTGGCGGTGAATGAGATGGCTGCTTTCCGGAGGGGTCCTTGGGTTGTTGATGCTTCGTTGGTCAGGCCGGGGGTGCATCATGTTTTGTGTCCGGTTGCGTCTCTCCGCCGTTATTTGTGCGCCATGGCTTTGGTGTCCGGGAACGCGCTTTAGATTTATCTGGTTTCATTTCTTCCTTGTTCCAGGGTTAGGGTCTCCCAGGTCGTCAACAGGGTTATTCGGTCCAGCCAGCCTGCGGTTTATCCCCGTGCCCATGACGTTCGTAAGTTTGCTGTGCTTGCTGCTGTCTTTGGTAACATGTCTTGGGCTGACATTTGTGTAACACGGGGGGGGGGGGGGGGTATCGGCTCTCTCTCCGTCCTTTATCCCTTGCCTCTACCCGTATTCTGATTTCTCTTCAATCCAAAGGACCCCAGAGATACTAATCTAAGCCGAATCCCACGCCACGTGGTCTTAAGCCGTTTGACCAGCTAAGATTCTACAGCCTTTACGACGTGGAACTAGACCCCTAGCAAACTCTAGAATCTCCTTACGCTGCCACCACCAGACCATTAACACTGGGAGCAAAAACCGAGGTCTGGACCGATTATGTTCTCAATAAACCTTGGGGCTTGATCCCCAGTTATTTGGAATAGGAGGGAAGAATCTACGTTAAGTGTGGGAAATATAGCAAACAAAGGGATGGCTGACCTCTTACGCTTTATTAGGCTTTGCGGCCCACCCAAAACTCAGCCTCGTGGGGACCACGTATTAAGGGACAATGAACAATATGAAAACATAAAAATGGAAATAATAAAAATGCAAGTTAGTAACTAGATAATTTATTCAAAATCTAAAACAAAATCTAAATCAAAGCACTCCCTATCATTAACACTCCCTGACTTAAGGCATGAGATGAACTAATTTCCTATACCAAACTATAGCAACTATACCTCTTTATGCGACCAGCTGATGCAATGCTGATCTTGGGGAGAGGTGGAGATGGGGGTACCTCTCCCAGCTGATGACCCGGTCCTCACTGATCCTACATCGCTCTGCTCAACACAGAAGCCAGAGGAGAGTATTCCTACGCTAGGCTTACCAAGTTTACTAGCAGGGTTTAAGTTGAATAACTAATCTCTGTTGTACGGAACGACCCAGATGGTTGAACTCTTTTAAACTGAAGGTAATTGCACAGGCATCTTAGGGAAGAGCTATTTCTGATTACAAAATGGCTATTTGACCTTTGAGAATTACTAAATGTGGAAGACTGATGACCCGTGACTGCCAGGTCGTCAAGGTCACTCCGTGCCAAGGGCTAGTCCCGCTCGTGACGTCACTGATGGTGACTTACTAAAGTATTCTGACAATTTAGGATACTCTTGATACTTTAAACAGGAATACTATTGAATATGTATGAATACAATATGAATGAAGACTAATTTCTCTAAATTACTGAATTCTGTAAAATAATTTATTATACCTGTACGTTGCTATAAGACAAAGGTGGCGGCCATTTTGTATCTCAACCGCTAATCTTCAGGAGATATGACCTTGTGCTTGGGTCAGGTCAAACTGCAACTTGACTAACTTTTGTACAAAGGCGTATCCCACTGCCTCCCATATAATTATTCATTTTAAAACAGCTTCAGTTGTTAAATTCGGGCGCAGGGTTTTTGGCAGTTGAACAGGGTCCTGGCTGTGCACTACCTGGTCAATGTTCCTGGGCCTAGTTGGGTCGGCGTTTGCAGCCAGTTGTCTTGATTTCGAGTTGAGGAGCGAGTGCTGACTGCCTCCCGGGTAAGTCCCTTTTTTGTTTTCTCTTGGGTAAGTAGCTCTGGGAGCTGAAGGGGCTCCCCCCAGAAAACCAGCATCGAATGTAATGAAACGGCCATTTTCTGGCGAGGCCCGGAGACTTCTCGGCAACCCTCCCTCCCTTCCCCCCCCCCCCCCGGTCGGCAGTGTTTTGACATCCAGCCTCGGAACTGAGGTGGGGATAGCTGGCACGAGGGGTCTGGGACTTCCCCTCCCCCCTTCCCAGGGAGGTGGGGGGGGATCTGCGCAGACAAGTGGCGCTGCACGTGTGACGTCATGTTCGTTTACTTGTTTTCATTTGGAAAGTTCTGTCCACTCGTTTAGCTTTTAGTAGTAATTTTAACCAGAATAGGAGTTTGTTTTGGGACGCTTACCTTCTGGGTGCCTGACCCAGTCGATGACAGACATAGAATGCTCCAAATCACGTGTGCAATTCTGTAGGCCATTGCTCCTCGTGCCTCTCTGAAGGGGCCAGGTTCTGGCTCTTGGTCCCCGGTAGGCCTATGAACTCCTTTCACACTGACTGATGCCTAAGTCAGAACAAAGTCAGTCAGTCAGAAAATCCATATCAGCCTGGATAGCTCCGGGGAGCCTCCAGGCCTCACCCAGAATATGGCGTTTCATTACATTTAACGCTGGTTTTATGTTCATTGGCAACGGTAGGTTAGGTAATTTCTTTTGGGTTATACATTTCTGGTTAGATTAAGCAGTTGATTTTTTAGTGGCAAATTGAGAGAACTGACTATCTGAAGGCTTGGCCTTGGCCTTCCTTGGCCTTGGCCCAAGTTGTTTGCCATTTTTGTATGATGCACTGTAGAACTTCTTTGCTGCTCGTCTAGCATGCTGGCATGAGGTGCTAGATAATTTCCAGATTGTGGTAGTATTTTTGCTACCTCCTGCCAGCCTTCATAATAATGTTTGCAATGTGAGATATGCTTGGTATAGAGCTAGGGATACATTCTTTGATTTGCTATGATCAAAACGTACCATGTTGTTAGTGAAATTTTCTGCCTTTTTTCACAGAATGGGACCGTGATGCTGTGTTCACTACAGCAGCAACAAGGTCAACATACATTGATCCTACCTCAGGTATGTATTGTGCTGTTATGCTTGCAATGTTGCAGGATTTATCAGTTACGCATGGTGATTAACCCTCAAACTGCGTGTACTAAATTGATGTATTGTCTAGCTGTTGTTGGTTCCAGGGATCAGTCTCTGACCAGGCCTCCTGGCTTGGAGGTCTGGTCAACCAGGCTGTTGGATGTACAGTAGTTGCTTGCAGCCTGATACATATGAATCACAGCCTGGTTGATCAGGTATCCATTGGAAGTGTTTATCAAGTTCTCTCTTCAACACTGTGAGAGTTAGGTTAGTTATACCCCCTTTATTTATATATTTATTTATTTATTTATATACTTATTTATTTATGTACAAGAAAGTACATTAGGTTTATGAGAGTACATAGCATTGATGTTTTTACATTCTTGCAAAGCCACTAACATGCATAACATTTCAGGCAGGTCCTTAATCTAACAGATAATTTTAAGTAGGTAAATTGCAGTAAAATTTGAAGAATATTGACAGGTACTTTGTAATAAAATTTGTGGATTATCAACAGGTACATTGTAGCATAATTTGAGGCTAATTGATAGGTACATTGTACTGTAGTAAAATTTGCGTTCAACATAACAACTGTGATATAAGTTGATAGCAGTGATTACAAGAGTGAAGTTGCCTGGCTTAGGCACAAGTATGGGAGCGCGTAGCACAAGATACAGTGCCAGTTTGAAGCACCAGGTAGGAAACTATGAGGTTGAAATTAGGATCTTTTCTGTGGGGGAGCACCGTCGGCTCCCTGGAGCTATTGGACTGATATTAGATAATATTAGTACGGTGCTTCAGACGTACGGAGTTGTCATACCTACTGGGGGACCACTAGCCAGAACATGGTCCCCTCAGAGAGGCGCAGGTAGCAATGGCCTATGAAACTCATATGCATGAAAGTCCAGTATTCATGTCTGCCATCAACCGGGGTTGAGCACCCAGAAAAGTAGGCGCTTCAAAACAGACTCCTCCTGGTAGAAACTGCAACCCAAGACTGAACAGAGGCTAGAAAATACCCCAAGAAAAACAAGTAACCCCCCCCCCAGGGAGGTGGAGAGGGGGGTCCCAGGCCACCGAGTCAGCAGCCGGATCATCAGCTTGTCGGCTGAAGCTAAACGGGGTGGAAGTCTGATCTGGTCTTGGTTTACTGATTGGCTTCACCCTGCTGGTGTTCCTGCTGTGCATTGAAGGTGGCCAGGAGTTTGTACCTAGGACTACATGTGCTTAGGGCCCTTTTTCCCTAAGCGCCATTTGAGTACACCCCAAGGGGAAAGGCAAGAGGGAAGGGGGGGGGGGGGTGGAGGGAGGGAGGGGATGTAAGGTAACAGGTAGGGGGGGAGGGGCAGGTAAGATATTATGGTGACACTATTTAAGATTATGGTGGTGACTTGGTGGCGGCGTCTGGCAGGGGGTGGGGGAGGGAAGGGGAGTGTGAGGTCGGAACAGGTGATGCGGGGGTGGGAGGGGCTGCCCAGGTAATTAAAGACATCTGATGTAGTCGGATAATGCTACAGTTTTAGTTAGTTATATAGAAATATACTAGTTTTTACGTAAAAATTTTACTTAAACGTATACACTCTTAAAATATTTGTTTATGACGGTAGAGTTTATTCTCGGTAAGAACTTTGAAAAATTTGAATTTCTCCCATAAGAACTCTTAACAAACTTCTATGATCTCTGAAATTATTTTTCTCATAAGAATTCTTTAACTCCAAATTGGAAATTTATCTGGAAACCCGACGTTACAAAAGCGAATGGATAAATTATCAGGAAACCCTGGCAGCGTAAACGCGAATTTGACCTGGAACCTCCTGTAGCATAAACACGAATGGCAAAATTACCTGGAACCCCCTGCAGCTTAAACGCGAATTTGAAAAAAAAAAATTTGTGTTAAAGCTGCACTCCCTTGAACAGTTCACAAGGTACTGAGTAACATTCTCTGGGTTCTTCAGGTCCCCATTCCTGTAGAGGAAGCGGCTGCTTGGCTTTCTGCCTCGCCCTTGGGATCAGCTTAGGTCTCGATGCTTTGTTTGGCCCCTGGGTAGGGAGTGGCGAGTGAGAAGTTTTTGAGGGAGGGAGTGGCAGCGAGAGACTGGCTGCCAAATGTGGTGGCCACTCCTTGTTGCTTTTTGACTCTCAATATCAACTTAGTAGTTCGTTATGGTGAACAAAACATCGATGCAGCGATGATTCACACATTTTATCATATAAATATATCACACTACAGTATACATTATTGAATAATATTACAGCAAAAAAAAGAAGAAAAAATGAATCGGAGACATTGAAATAATTAGGTAATTATATCTTTGTGGCAACCCCCCTGTCTGACAGCTGGGGCAAAGCAGAACTCTCCCGACGCTTGCTGAGTCAGCACCTCTTTTTTTTTGCCAGACTTCCCCGCCCTATTGAGGCCAAAATATGTCACTTTTGATTTTTTTATTATTTTTCCCATGATCAGGGAACACGTGTATCATTACAAATCAATGCTGGCTTTTTACACCCTGTTGGTATATTCAGATGCAGCCATCATCTCACACAACTCAAATGTTAGATGTTCCCATCCTTAGTGACTCTGAAGGGGAATACGGATTTACTGTCACCGTTGAAGAAAAGGAACGTACTACAAAAAGTCCAATGTGGTTGGTAAGTGTTAGTTCTGATTAGTAATTTTAGTTATATTGTTTTTTCTACTTCACCCAATTTTGTTCAGAGCCACTGTGTTATATTTATTTAAAATTAAAAAATATATCAAAGTACTGTTGAGTATTGGAATCAATTTTACTGAAGCAGTACTGTGAAAATAAGCAGATTCTGCCAACACTAATGCACTCGTATACTTCTAGTTTCATAGGCTGTCATTTTAAAGTTTTAATAAGTAGTAGTATTATTTTTTAAGAGTGCATTAATTTTGGTTAAATGATCCATCAATACTTTACATTCTCTGAAAATGCTATTGGTTTATTTATGTTAACAAATTATATAATTACCTCCTCAGTGTTGTAACCTGCTTAGTTCAATAAATGTTAGGGTTCATTTCCAGAACCCATTATGTGCCTTTGTTATCTTGTTCTGCTACCACTCATGGGATAGGTATGTGGTGCACTACAACTCATGGGATAGGTATGGGGTGCACTACCACTTATGGAATAGGTATGTGGTGCACTACCACTTATGGGATAGGTATGTGGTGCACTACCACTTATGGGATAGGTATGTGGTGCACTACCACTTATGGGATAGGTATGTGGTGCACTACCACTTATGGGATAGGTATGTGGTGCACTACCACTTATGGGATAGGTATGTGGTGCACTACCACTTATGGGATAGGTATGGGGTGCACTACCACGTATGGAATAGGTATGGGTTGAAATACTAAACTAAAACTAAACTATTGTTTGCAGATGAGTAGAATCACAAATAAATTATATACAAACATTAACAAATCGGTGCCATTCGAAATTCACCTAAAGAAGCCCATCAACAACAAACAGTTCTGCATTCGAGCCGTGCCGGTATTCTCCAGTCCGCAGTTCTTGCGTACAAATGTTAATCGTTGCCCCAACCATGCTGCACCAACAGATGCAACCAATCATGGTAAGTTATCCATATACTGGGACGTTACATTTCCATTATCTGAGATTGCTGGTGCTAAACCCATAGCAGTTTTAGATATTTTCAGATTCTAGACACCTATTGTATAACATTGCCAATGTTCTTTTGTTTTCTGAATTTATTTGGCATTATTTAATGCAATTAATTTGTTAAGTTATATACCATAAATATTGAAAATAAATAACCCAACCCACACATGTGAAAAAAAATGAAAACTGACAGTGTTTTGGTTTGTCCTTTACTCTTATCAAATCACGACAAGGAAGAGTGGGAGAGAGTCAATATATGAGCAGAGGGAAGGTGAGGTGAAAGGCAGTTAGGAGTAAGCAGAGAAGTAAAGCAGAGAAGTAAAATTTCAGGACCTTCATCTTATGCCAAATACTGTTGCCTCGTATCGTGTTGCACTGGCTCCACCAGTGCAACACGATACTATACTGGCCTCTTGGACCGCTTCCTCGTCTCTCCCTCCAGAGGCGTTGCTGCGGCTGCAGTCCTGCCTTCGGCTGTTTTTGAGGGGGTCCCGGGTCACTCGGCGGTTGGTCGAACAGTTGTGCGGGAGTCTGAACTTCGCTGTACTGGTCTGCCCGCCAGGTTGGGTTTGGCTTCGGCGTCTGTTTTGGTTCCTTCAGGGACGTCCCTTCCGCCTCTCTCGCAATTGTTGGGTTCGTCCTCTTGGGGCCTTGTGTCGGTTGCTGCATCGCCGGCTTCTTCTTCGGGGTTTTTGGGGTTCGGTGCCTTGGCGCCTTCCCGAGCCTCGCTCGGTGTGTTCACGGACGCGTTACTGTATCTCTCAGCTGGAGCTTTGTGACCAGTGCTCACCAGGTCGGCCAGGGACGCTAGGGTCCGTCCTTATGTCGGGCTCACAGCACGGTTCAGGAGTTTGCGGCAGTCTGGTTTGCGCTTCGGAGAATTTGAGTCGCTCGGAGCTTTTTTTAATTTGATATTTTTGGGAGTGTGGAACGGATTAATTCAATTTACATTATTTCTTTTGGGAAAATTCGTTTTGGGTTGTGAGTTTTCAGCTTACGAACCGTCTATGTTAATGGATTAAATTCATAAATGGAGGGGCCACTGTACAGGCTTCCTGTCCCCAAAAAAGGGAAAATTCTATGCCTAATTTCTGGGAGGGACCTATCAGTGGCTTCCTAAGCCTGTCCACAATGGTGTCTTGATAAAGAAGTCCAACTTCCCCCCTCCCCCCCCCCCCCACCAAAGAAAAATATAGAGAAGAGGAACAATCAGGAGAAAATGCCAAGCCATTATAACTACAGTACAACCTCGATTCCACGTACCCCGGTTCAACGAATCTCCGGCGAGTTCGCACACTTTTTTGGCTGGATTTACTCACCCGGTTCGCCGAAGCGGGGGATGTTCGCATTTGCTTACGATGTCGAGACAGAGTTCACAGACTGGTAGAAAACTTTCCCATTCTATCACAGATTACAATTAATAATTCGCTCATATGAGAAGTTCGATCACACAAGTGGACCAGACAAGTGGACTGCACAAGTGGTCCACAAGCTTACGATGTTGGGAAAGAGTTCACAGAGTGGTGGAAAACTGTCTCATTCTATCTACAATTAATAATTCCTTCATAAGCCAAGTTGGATCACACAAATGGACCACACAACAAGTGAACCATATGAACCAAACACCAGCCAGAATGGTCCACACAACAAGTAAAGCATATTAACCACACATCAGCCAGAGTGGTCCACACAAGTGAACGACTGAGTTTCAATGACTTTCGTTCACTTATTTGTGGCACACGTATCTTTGTAAATTAATTTAAAGGCTGAAGCGTGAATAGCTAGCTAATGTGTTGAAAATCGTCTTATATACATTTTCTGTGATGAAACAAGATGAGTGAGGGTGGACAGATAAGGGAATACTGTACTGTAAACCTCACTTTACATTGATTTCACTCACTTTCGTCTGTGTCGTTATAGTTCAGTAACCCATGACTTTGAACGTTTCAGATTAATAAATCATTTCTAAAACTGGTGTTTGAATTACTTTATTATCCTAATTAAACTAAACTAAATAAAACCAAAAATATACTGTAATATGATAGATATCTGCTTTTGAGAAATTATTCATGTTATTGGCGGCTCACAAGTCCAGCTCGAGTGGACAGGTCTAATCCGTGTGCACATACCATGCTTGTTTTGTTCGATTTCGTTGCCACAGTTCAGTGACCTACGGCTTCGGAATAATAAAATTAATAAATCGGTTCTAAAATAAGTATTTTTTATAGCTCTTATTATCGTAATAATGTTGCTAAACTAAATATATAACCCAAAATTATATAATTTGATGTAAATCGAATATTTGAGAGAAATGTATGTTACTGGATCTGGCTTAAACACCAGCTTACTGAAGGATGTACATATAGACCTAGTCTGCGTTCATACAGTATGCACTCAGTGCCCTTAGTTTTGTCTGTGATTAACGTACAGTATTTAATCGCCGGTGGAAGAATAATTGTGGAATTTACCATTTTTGGACTACAGCTGTATTGTTATACAACAAAATATCTCAGGGGCTTACTAACAGTGCCATATTAATGCCAAAAATGAAGCAATATTTTGCAAGAACTTGTAGCAGGAAATCAACCAGCACGAGAACTGCCGTGCCCAGCACGAGAACAGCCGTGCCCAGCACGAGAACAGCCGTGCCCAGCACGAGAACAGCCGTGCCCAGCACGAGAACAGCCGTGCCCAGCACGAGAACAGCCGTGCCCAGCACGAGAACAGCCGTGCCCAGCACGAGAACAGCCGTGCCCAGCACGAGAACTGCCGTGCCCAGCACGAGAACAGCCGTGCCCAGCACGAGAACAGCCGTGCCCAGCACGAGAACAGCCGTGCCCAGCACGAGAACAGCCGTGCCCAGCACGAGAACAGCCGTGCCCAGCACGAGAACAGCCGTGCCCAGCACGAGAACAGCCGTGCCCAGCACGAGAACAGCCGTGCCCAGCACGAGAACAGCCGTGCCCAGCACGAGAACAGCCGTGCCCAGCACGAGAACAGCCGTGCCCAGCACGAGAACAGCCGTGCCCAGCACGAGAACAGCCGTGCCCAGCACGAGAACAGCCGTGCCCAGCACGAGAACAGCCGTGCCCAGCACGAGAACAGCCGTGCCCAGCACGAGAACAGCCGTGCCCAGCACGAGAACAGCCGTGCCCAGCACGAGAACAGCCGTGCCCAGCACGAGAACAGCCGTGCCCAGCACGAGAACAGCCGTGCCCAGCACGAGAACAGCCGTGCCCAGCACGAGAACAGCCGTGCCCAGCACGAGAACAGCCGTGCCCAGCACGAGAACAGCCGTGCCCAGCACGAGAACAGCCGTGCCCAGCACGAGAACAGCCGTGCCCAGCACGAGAACAGCCGTGCCCAGCACGAGAACAGCCGTGCCCAGCACGAGAACAGCCGTGCCCAGCACGAGAACAGCCGTGCCCAGCACGAGAACAGCCGTGCCCAGCACGAGAACAGCCGTGCCCAGCACGAGAACAGCCGTGCCCAGCACGAGAACAGCCGTGCCCAGCACGAGAACAGCCGTGCCCAGCACGAGAACAGCCGTGCCCAGCACGAGAACAGCCGTGCCCAGCACCAACTCAGAAGCAGCTGAAGCCACAGCAGCAGCGAGCACCAGCAGAGCTGATGCAAACATCTAGAAACATCATGTGTGGCGTGAATAGATAGAACAAGTGTTAAATTTAAGTGTGTACATAGTGTTAAAATTAAAGGTGCAGTAATTTTAGTGGACAATAGTTTTCATTAACTATACAGTATTGTAGTACTCAACATACAGCAGAACTACTTAATCAACAGTGTTAACGGTATAATACACTACAGTAGAGTACATATTTACTGTACAGCATTCACAACTCCATGAGACTTCAAGATGGACAAAACTCCAACAATTTTAGCTAAGCAAGTTACAATCTTGATAAGCTAGTTACAAAATTCAATATAAGTCGTCATATCAACAATGGGTTCGAGATCGACCTCAAGTACAGGTTCTAAATTAAGCAACTGACATATGTGGAGAGCTAGTGTCACAATTGATATGTTTGTCCTGCACACCGCCCACCATCCAGTGGGCAGCGGTGGATAGGTTACAATCACTCGGTTACTACCTACAGTTAGCAAACTGGGGATATTTGGCTAAAATTTCTGGCAGCAGATCATTTTGAATGAAATATTTACACATCGCTGTAACATTGGTTATAGAATTCTCTAAATTCACGTATCTTTTTTCGCATAACAAAATGTAACACAGTATTTTTTAGTAGGGTAATAATATACAGTATAGGTACAGTATATAATATGATAATGCATTTTTATTGTGTACAAGAAAAAAAAAGACACTGATGCAAATGCCTCCTGAAGGTCACCTCTTGCAACGAAACCAACGCTCCAACGCACTGGGGTTGGTCCCATATACTGTAGTATGTTGAATCGAGGTTGTACTGTATATAGCACTTGGAAGGGATAAGGATTAGGGATGGGACAGGGGAATGGACTGGTGCCCAACAACTTGGACGGTTGGGGATTGAACGCCATCCTGCATGAATTGAGACCCTCGCTCTACTGTCCACCCCAAGTAGTTGGGCAGAAGAAAAATTGAGAACTGGACTAAACTGTGAGAGAAGATTGATAGGAGAGGAGGGCTCAGCTCAAAGAATGGCAGCCATGCAGCAAATGGCCAAGCATGCACAAGTATGTTGAGACCAAAGGACAACTATCAAGGAACAAACGACCAGCATCAGAAGAACTGGAGGAAACCCTGAGCCCAAACATCAGTTGTGAATAAAATAGAAAATGGAAAATAAAGCGTCTAAGCAGTAAACAGCGACACATGATTGGAAATCATGAAGGACCTGAGAAAGGCAGGCTATGGGATAAGGGATGTGAGAAACACTAACAACAAACAGGATCTTGATTAGAGCCATGCGAGGAGAGCACAAAAAGCACATAACTGATACGTGCCTTAGATTAAAGAGCACCTGAAACAGCCAGAGAAGGTGTTGAAGATACTCCATCATCCCTTCCTAAATTCTAGCAGAGAAGCCTCACCAAGGCTGAACGAAACAAGGCAACTGCCAAATTGAGAAGAACCAAAACATGCACGACAGCACCTTCTATGGCAACTGATACAAAGGAAAGCCATGAACCATTGAGGCTGGGTGTCATGCTAATCAGTGGGAAGAGGTGGAGTCCCTGGAAGGTAAAGAGTCGGTATAACATGTGAGAAGGATAAGGAACATGATGGAACTGGCCACATAGTGGTGCACAGTCTTTTACTGGCTCCTAAGAGCCCCAATCCAGGCAACACAAGAATAAGTAGCTGAAGTGGGGAAAGATAAAAATATTAGTCCATCCTCTCCAGACTCGATAAAACATGCCCTCTGATAATTCTGCATGATCTGGAAACTGTGTCCCATAGACTGGAAGCTGTCAGAACTGTGCAGGGGCAAATATGCCCAGTCATGAATTGTTAAACAGCCAAGAAACCTCATGTTGCTGAAATGAACAGAGCTTTTCATAAACCTCAAAGCCTTTTTTCTGGAAGGGTACACTTGATGGCTGCCCATGCTACCCACCTGGTAAGTTCAGCAAGCTCCTGAGGGACCCACCAGAAAAACCCACTCCATTCTATATTCTCCATATCCACTCCATTCTATATTCTCCATACCCACTCCATTCCGTATTCTCCATACCCACTCCATTCCATATTCTCCATACCCACTCCATTCCGTATTCTCCATACCCACTCCATTCCATATTCTCCATACCCACTCCATTCTGTATTCTCCATACCCACTCCATTCCATATTCTTCATACCCACTCCATTCTATATTCTATATAGCTAATCCAGTCTCCGGCCCCGACCACGGCGGCCTCCGGGTTTGGAATCCCTGTGCCTTCTTTCACCAACTTCAAGGTCATCTTTGTAGCTCACAGTTCCTGCGATAGCGCTGGAACCAATCATATTGGCGTTTGCCTTTCCATTGGAGACTTTCGGCGCCGTGGAGAGGGTGGACCTGCTGCTTGGGTGACAGCTTCTCCTCTGTATCAGTCTACCCTGGCTTTGTGCCCTGGAGAGGCCAGGGCGCATTCCATATTATATATATAGCCAATCCATTCTATATTTGTCATACCCACTTCTATATTCTCCATACTACTCTATTCTATTTTCTCCATATCTACTTTATTCTATATTATCCATATCTACTCCATTAAATATTCTATATACCCACTACTCCATATTCTCCTTAAAGTGATGAATTAAAATTTGTATTATATTTCTTTGTCAGATTTTCCATATCCAGAGCATGTCATACGGGCTGACCACCCAGAGGCTCGTTATATTAAGGGCACATCAGGACGTTTGTCTGTTACTGTTCCATTGGACACTTTGCAAGATGGGTCAGACTACACTCCTGTCCTTCTAAGATTTATGTGTCTTGGATCCTGTGTGGGCGGTATTAATCGAAGACCCATTGCCGTCATCCTTACCCTTGAGAATAGGTTGGTGTGTGTGTGTGTTATTCTAGTAGTGTTAATCTATCAGCATTTGCTGGTATTGCTGTGGGGGTCCAATATGAATACACAGATTTTGGGGTTTTCCATTATATGGTACAGTACTGTATTTAGAGACAGTATCAGTTTTAGTCATTAAACCTTTTAAGATATGCTGTTATTTTCTTTTCAGTTTGGGGAAAGAATGTGGAAGGAAAGTTATTGATGTTCGAGTGTGTGCATGTCCAACTCGAGATATCAGAACTGATGAACAAGGCGTATTGAACAAAGGAGTTAAGCGAAAATGTTCTTCTAGCCAAGTGAGACTTTTGAGTATTCGTGTTCATTCTTACTGAAATATCAGATTAATCACTGCACTGCTCTGCATTAATATACAACACACCCATGCTGTGCCAAAAATATGTTCTTTCCAAAAAATTATTTTCTCTTCTTGTATTGTTAAAATGCAGTCTCTGATCACGGGAAACTAAAAAAAAAAAAAAAAAATGTATGTTACATACTTTACCTGCGATGGAGCGTTTAAGGTCATTAGGCCCTGCCACCCCGCGGGGTGAAAGTTGCAGCCAATATAATGTTTCACAATTATTTTGATGTTTCTCATTTGTTTCTTCTCTGGTTTTTTGTTGTAATATTCAAAACTGTGTAATTTGTGGAATTCATATAGTTCAATGTGTGGAACATAGCAATGCTCAAAATTATGGGGCTCATATATGTGACATGTATATTATATTCTACGATCAATCAGTGTTTTTGCTGTTATTACTCTATATACAGACGTTATATATAAGTATCTACATTTGTGTTCATCATAGCGAACCACTAAGCTGGTATGGTGATTCCAGATAATAACATATTGCCACACCAGCCAGCAGCTGATGCCACCTCTCCTTCCCTCCCTCACCAACAATACTCCTCCCACTGCTAATTCACATTTCTAATTCTCAAAACAATCCTGCTATTATCAGAATCCTGGTCACTATATCATGTAAATGAATAATTTTCCACATGTTTATTTTGTAAAGGAACATGAGAAACCATTTGACGATTTTTAGATGAACGAAATAATTGGCAGTGTTCTGTGGCTAACACTGTGAACATCTTGAACAGCATTTATTGACTGATATCTGAACATTGTACACAGTCTTTATCACAGTCAGGCTCTTATGTAATACTATCATGGCTAAATAATACCAGATACATATATATTTGGACATTTTTAGGTGATGCTGTCATCAAAAGCTGAACAGCAATACTGTTAGCTTATGCTGTGTGCAACAGCCTTGGTTGCTCACTCAGTATTGAGGCCGTCACACCCGAAAATGTTGCTCACAATTTTTTTTAAAATGGCGTCTGTTTGGGAGAGCCCTGAGGAAGCTGATGTGAACCCCGTGTAGCCGTGGAAGTTTTGAATGATACACTATATCTATAAGAGCCCTGAGGCGCGTTGCACACCACCCGTTGAGAGCCTCAAGGCGCGTTGCACACCACCCGCTGAGAGCCTCAAGGTGTGTTGCACACCACCCGCTGAGAGCCTCAAGGCGTGTTGCACACCACCCGTTGAGAGCCTCAAGGCGTGTTGCACACCACCCGTTGAGAGCCTCAAGGTGTGTTGCACACCACCCGTTGAGAGCCTCAAGGTGTGTTGCACACCACCCGTTGAGAGCCTCAAGGTGTGTTGCACACCACCCGTTGAGAGCCTCAAGGTGTGTTGCACACCACCCGTTGAGAGCCTCAAGGCGCGTTGCACACCACCCGTTGAGAGCCTCAAGGCGCGTTGCACACCACCCGTTGAGAGCCTCAAGGCGTGTTGCACACCACCAGTTGAGAGCCTCAAGGTGTGTTGCACACCACCCGTTGAGAGCCTCAAGGCGTGTTGCACACCACCAGTTGAGAGCCTCAAGGTGTGTTGCACACCACCCGTTGAGAGCCTCAAGGTGTGTTGCACACCACCCGTTGAGAGCCTCAAGGCGTGTTGCACACCACCCGTTGAGAGCCTCAAGGCGTGTTGCACACCACCCGTTGAGAGCCTCAAGGTGTGTTGCACACCACCCGTTGAGAGCCTCAAGGTGTGTTGCACACCACCCGTTGAGAGCCTCAAGGTGCGTTGCACACCACCCGTTGAGAGCCTCAAGGCGCCTTGCACACCACCCGTTGAGAGCCTCAAGGTGTGTTGCACACCACCCGTTGAGAGCCTCAAGGTGTGTTGCACACCACCCGCTGAGAGCCTCAAGGCGTGTTGCACACCACCCGTTGAGAGCCTCAAGGCGCGTTGCACACCACCCGTTGAGAGCCTCAAGGCGCGTTGCACACCACTAGTTGAGAGCCTCAAGGCGCATTGTGCAGTGCAGTGGTTAATCCTTGTAGTGTGCAAGGGTTACATTAGGCATTATCTGTATAAACACACTTCAGCTTATACATTATTGAACAATGGTAGAATAGGACACTTAAGCTCATACATTATTGATCAAGGGTAGAATAGGACAGTTTGGCTCATACATTACTGAACAAAGGTAGGAGAGAACAATTCAGCTCATTCATTATTATTAAACAATGGTAGAGTAGAACACTTCAGCTCATTCATTATTAAACAATGGTAGGGTAGAACACTTCAGCTCATTCATTACCGAACAATGGTAGAGTAGAACACTTCAGCTCATACATTACCGAACAATGGTAGAGTAGAACACTTCAGCTCATTCATTATTAAACAATGGTAGGGTAGAACACTTCAGCTCATACATTATTAAACAATGGTAGGGTAGAACACTTCAGCTCATACATTATTAAACAATGGTAGGGTAGAACACTTCAGCTCATACATTATTAAACAATGGTAGGGTAGAACACTTCAGCTCATACATTATTAAACAATGGTAGGGTAGAACACTTCAGCTCATACATTACGGAACAATGGTAGAGTAGAACACTTCAGCTCATACATTACCGAACAATGGTAGAGTAGAACACTTCAGCTCATTCATTATTAAACAATGGTAGGGTAGAACACTTCAGCTCATACATTATTAAACAATGGTAGGGTAGAACACTTCAGCTCATACATTATTAAACAATGGTAGGGTAGAACACTTCAGCTCATACATTACGGAACAATGGTAGGGTAGAACACTTCAGCTCATACATTACGGAACAATGGTAGGGTAGAACACTTCAGCTCATACATTACGGAACAATGGTAGGGTAGAACACTTCAGCTCATACATTACCGAACAATGGTAGAGTAGAACATTTCAACTCATACATTACCGAACAAGGATAGGATTGATCATACACATCAAAACATGTATTACAAGATATTTGTCACTTTTATCATCTGTATTTATTATTTAATAAATCTAGAATACTGATAACCTTTTTCTAACTTTCAGGAAAGAGTACCAATTGTGGCGAGGAAAAAGCCCAAGACATTGGACCCCAAAACGGAACCCCACGATGACGACAAGAAAACATTTTTCATTCCAGTGAGTTAACTACAGTACTGTTGAATATCACTGAATGGTAAACTCTTGTGGGCTTGCTGAGTTTATAATTTGTTTTTGTAAGAAAATTTTGTTTAGTATCTCAAATAGCTCATCATGTTTACATAAAACTGACAATGCTTGCATGAAGGATTAGGCTTGATTTCTGTTTTTCTGAGGGAAGCCCCTTCGGCTCCCCGGAGCTATCCGGGCTGACATGAATGTATTAGACCAAGGTGCCCCTTGTCTACACAAAGAGCACCAACAAGAGGCAGCCGAGGAAATTTCTAAAGGGGAGGTATTCTTCAGTGGTAAATACCTAAGTGTAATTACCTAAGTGTAGTCACAGGATGTGAGCTACGCTCGTTGACTACGCTACGTAGTCAACCCAATCATCTCTTTCCTGTAAAATCTCTGTGGCTTGATCATAGAAACTGAGTAAATTCGATACACAGGATCTTCCAGATCGAAAACCATACTGTCTGTCTGATATTATATCATTTCTCTCCAGGTGTTCTACCCATTTAGTTTTTATTATTTTTTCCAATACTTTCACTATTACACTTGTCAATAATACTCAATAATACAGGTCTATAATTGAGGGGGGTCTTCCCTGCTGCCACTTTTGTAGATTGGAACTATGTTAGCCTGTTTTCACACATCTGCTATGACTCCTGTAAACAGGGATACCTGAAAGATCAGGTGAATTGGAATGCTGAGCTCAGATGCACATTCTCTCAGAACCCATGGTGAAATTCCATCTGGGCCAACTGCTTTGTTCTTACTTAGCTCCTTGAGCATTTTTTCCACTTCATCTCTAGACACCTATATGTGCTCTATGTTGTTCCCTGGAATTCTTATTGTGTCTGGTTCCCTAAAGATTTAATTTTGTACAAACACACTTTGGAACTTTTCGTTTAGTGTTTCACACATTTCCTTTTCATTTTCCGTGAATCTATTTCCCATTTTCAACCTCTGAATATTATCCTTTACCTGCAATTTGTTGTTTATGAATTTATAGAATAGACCTGGTTCTGTTTTACATTTGTCTGCAATCCCTTTTTCAAAATTTCATTCTGCCTCTCTCCTCACTGCCGTGTAGTTGTTTCTCGCATCTTTGTATCGCTGGTATGTTTGGGGGTTTGGCCTCTTCATGTATTGATTCCATTTTTGTGTCTTTTGGTCTCTGGCCCTCTTGCAATTTCTATTGAATCAATCCTGTTTCCAAGTTCTACATCTCTGTTTTGGTATAAATTTTTTTGTGCCTTTATCATATATTTCACAAAACTTGACATACATCTCATTCACTTCCTTGTCTAGCATCAAGTCTGTCCAATTATACTCACTAAAAAAAATTTCTAAGGCGGCCATAATGTCCTCTCCTGAAGTCAGGTTTTTCAACTGCTTCAACCTCCTTATTTTCTTCTACATTATAATGCATTGCATACTTTATTCCCAAAAAGACATGGTCACTTTTACCCAAGGGAGGAAGGTACTGAATGTCAAATATCTCTTCCTCCTTCCTGGTAAATATCAAATCTAGCATGGAGGGAACGTCCCCTTCCCTCATCCTCGTAGCTTGTTTAACATGTTGATACAAGAATGTTTCCAGGATGAGGTCTACAAATCTACAGGTCCAAAAATCTTCTGTTTTAGCTTCATATGCTTCCCAGTATATGGATTTCAAGTTGAAGTCACCGACTATGAACAGTTGTGATCTATCGTTGAACAAATCCACAAGGGCCGTGACGAGGATTCGAACCTGTGTCTGGGAGCATCCCAGACACTGCCTTAATCGACTGAGCTACAACAGGGTTAAAAGGGTTGAAACCAAAGTTCTACTGAACTTACTGGATCCCATAGCCTCTCCGAGGCACAAACCAGGCTTTTACAAACCCCCCCCCCCCCCTGCACCCGAGCTATGTCAATAGGCTGTTCTCCCTCTTCGCCCTTACATCATTACACACAGAGATCACACTAACGTGATGCATCAAATGAACAAATCCACAAGGGCCGTGACGAGGATTCGAACCTGCGTCCGGTAGCATCCGAGACACTGCCTTAATCGACTGAGCTACGACAGGGTTAAAAGGGTTGAAACCGAAGTTTTATTGAACTTACTGGATCCTGTAGCCTCTCCGAGGCACAAACCAGGCTTTTACACAACCCCCCCCCCTGCACCCGAGCTATGTCAATAGGCCGTTCTCCCTCTTTGCCCTTACATCACCACACACAGAGATCACACTAACGAGATGCATCAAATGAACAAATCCATTTGTTCATTCATGTCCGGGGTGTGTCCTGCATCCTGGCAGACAGCCTGTCTCGGTTCATTTCTCTGTTCGTGGATTGGCTGGTTGTCCCCGACTCATTTCGTTGGCTCTGTCGGATGTATGGACTCCTGGCCATGGACATCTTCGCGTCGGTATGGCCTCGGCGTCGCCCATTCTATGTGGTGCCCTTACCCGCCTGCGAGGCGTTCACGATGGATGCCTTTCAGCAGGACTGGTCGAGGTGGGGGTTCCTGTATCCTCTTCTCCTGGTCCAGCTGTTGCTTCTGGTTCTGGCTCGGTTGGAGTCCATTCCCAAGGAGAATAGTCCTCATGGTCCCTTGGTGACCGGCCCAGCTTTATTTTCAGATGCTGCTAGATAGTGTTCCGAACCCGGGGCGTTTTCCCGCGGCTCCGCCTCTTTCGGCAGGTCGGACCGGTCCTGTATGTGACTGGTTTGGCCTTCTCCTCGGCTCTTCGAGTCTGGTAATTTGACGTGGATGTATCACCATCTCAATGGTGATCAGGTGGCTTCGTTAATGGTGTCCCACCTGCGAGCTTCGTTTCAGCGACAGTATGATGTTCCTGGTGTTTTTATTCACCTTTTTCATGCTCTTTGTAGGTTGTCTTCTCTTTTGCATCGGGTTATCTTGTCCTTTCTTGGGTTTTCAGGACTACAGTTATTTGATGTTTCTCACTGTCGCCTCCTTTTGTGCGACGCTGGCGGAGCCGCTCCGGCTTGCATTCGGGGTGGACGTCACATCTGCTCCGTTCCGTACGCTTTCTCATGTTTTGTTTCACCTCCGGCCTGCTAGTGTGTCGCCTGAGCTGTCCTGGTTCTTGATCAGGGTGCCCTCTCATCTTCTCAGTTTGTGGTAGCCCCTTCAGTTCAAGTTTGGTTTTCATAGGCCATATTTTGTTGGCATGGGCCTCTGTAGGTCGGGTCGGGGAGCTTCCGGCTCTCTTCCGGTGCAGGGGTTTCTGCTCTTTTGGTACTGGTGGTAGGTTTGTATGTTTGCCACCTTTCTCCATCCTTCTGGTGACGGTTGAGACGACTGCTTTTCGGAGGAGTCCTTGGGTTATTGATGCTTGCTTGGTTCGGCCGGGGATGCGTCTTGTGTTGTCCGGTTGTGCCTCTTTGCTGTTACCTGCGTACCGTGTCTGGGGATGTGCTTTGGGTTGATCCTGTTCCCCTCGTTACCTGTTTCAGGGTTCAGTCTTCCAGGTCTTCCGCAGAATTTTTAAGTCTACCAGCCTGCGGTCTATCCTTGCGCCCGTGCCGTTCGGATGTTTGCAGCTTTCACTGCCGTGTTGGTGACGTTTAGGGCTTAGTTCGGGCACGAGGATTCGAGGGTCGCTCAGGTTCCTGGCCGCCCGTTCTTTGTGCGCGTGTCTGCTTCTGTGTGTTCTTGTTGCTTTGGGTCGCAGGTTGCAGCCTGTTGTCTCGGCTTCGCGTTGCGGAGTTTGTGGAGGCAGCCTTCCGGGTCAGCCCTTTCTTTTCCTTCTCTTTGGGTATGAAGCTCCAGGGAGCCGTAGGGTCTCCCCACAGAAAACCAGCATTGAATGTAATGAAATGCCATTTTCTGGTTGAGCCCCGGAGGCTCCCTTGCAACCCTCCCTCCCACCGGTCGGCAGTTTTTTTGCGTTGGTTGAAGCTTAGCTTTTGAACTGATGCTAGGCAGCCAGCGTGGTGAGGTCTGGGGCTCCCCTCTCCCCCTCTCAGGGTGGGGAGGGCTGCGCGGGCAATCGGCACGGCATTAAAGTGTGATGTTTGCTAGTTTCCTTGGGATTGTAGGGAGTTTCTACCTCTCTGTTTGGTTTTCTGTTTTAGTTTTTACCATGTGGGGTTTGTTTTGTTATGCCTGCCTTTCTGGGTGCCTAACCCCGGTCGATGGCAGATAAGGAAAATCCCAACCACAAGGGGGTTTTCCAGGGCCATTGCTCCCTGAAACCTCTCAGAAGGGGCCAGGTTCTGGCACTGGTCCCTGGTAGGTCTGAACTCCTTAGTTAATGTCCCGGTCTAATATAACATACATTAGTCCAGCCGGTCGGCCGAGCGGACAGCACGCTGGACTGTGATCCTGTGGTCCCGGTTCGATCCCGGGCGCCGGCGAGAAACAATGGGCAGAGTTTCTTTCACCCTATGCCCCTGTTACCTAGCAGTAAATAGGTACCTGGGTGTTAGTCAGCTGTCACGGGCTGCTTCCTGGGGGTGGAGGCCTGGTCGAGGCCTCCACCTCATACATATAACATACATTAGGGAGCCGGTCGGCCGAGCGGACAGCACGCTGGACTGTGATCCTGTGGTCCCGGGTTCGATCCCGGCGCCGGCGAGAAACAATGGGCAGAGTTTCTTTCACCCTATGCCCCTGTTACCTAGCAGTAAATAGGTACCTGGGTGTTAGTCAGCTGTCACGGGCTGCTTCCTGGGGGTGGAGGCCTGGTCGAGGACCGGCCCGCGGGGACACTAAAGCCCCGAAATCATCTCAAGATAACCTCAAGATAACCAATAAGCTCCAGGGAGCCTCCAGGGCTCATCCAGAAAATGGTTACATTTAACGCTGGTATTATGTTCAAATACTCAAAAATCCTAAAAATACTAAAATTCTTTACAAAGAATTCAAGCGCGATTGTCACTAGGCGGGAGGCACTGGTAAACTGAGGCTCGGTCACCGTGCCACCACGTGCCAGGTCGGCCATACAGGTATCAACATACGGTACTACTTTATCCGAGGCAAATTTTTTAATCCGATTCGGATTTTCTGAAGAAATTGGGCTCGTAATCCGAAAAGTTCTTAAAGAGGGACATTCCTAAGCCGAGGTGTCACTGTACTATAACTGGGAGGAAAAAAAGAGCCTGAATAAATACAGTGGTTTCTAAAAATATCATTACGTCAACTCCCACTCCATGGCAGAGCTAGGCAGACTGCTATGGGGCGAATGTTCAATGAATGCTTGTGAATCATCTGACTTCTGGGCTTCATAATAGCCAAAGTAAGTCACATACAATTTTTTTATTACTTTCACGTGATCAAGGAATGCATTTTTTCTACAGTAGTAAAAGGAAAATGTTTTAATTTTTCTTGCGTATTGGAGAGGAAGATGTTGGCAGTAAACAATGACGTAGTGCTGGGGTTATATTTGTGAGATTTAATTAGCAATGTAATTTAGCAAAATAATGCAGTAGTGTTCTATCCACAGGTTTATGGAGAGAAGTTGTACAATTTTCTCATGGATATGAAGGCTGTGTATTACCGTTCTCATCCTGAATATGCAGCTAAATACCCTGATGACGACGTTCTGTTACGCAG